CTGGTTACTCATGTTCAATATTAACATTCATCAGAAATATGACATCATGTTCATTATCATGTGCAGTATTTCATGGTACTCCTTTAATCAGTACTCCTTCATACCATCCACATGTCTTAAGATATTAACTACTATGTTCTAAATACATTCAAGAAGGTCTTAATTATCTTAAGGTTACTTTAACGTGACCTCTGTTGTGTTTTAAATTATTTTTTGTGAATGTCTGTGAGGATTTTTTGTCTTTTTCAATGACACCGAGAATCATGGAATTTTGTTTTCCAGGTTTGTTGAGTATCTGGAGCAGAGATTACCTGCAGACGGGGACAGTGGCATCTCTGTCGTGTTCGACAGTCTAGTGCAGAGGTTTTTGAACGTCGAGCAATATGCTAATGACATCAGATATGTGAACTACTGCATTAAATGTGTAAGTCTGATTAAAATACTACACTCAGACAACAGTCACACTGTTAAAGTCTCTCATGAGCATTTTTTCATTTTCACTCTGTCTCACAGGCGAGTTACTACTCCGACCCCATAGCGCTGTACAGTCACGTCTTCAGCAAGGGCATCGGCACCAGGTCTGCGGCGCTCTACATGGCCTGGGCACAGCAATTTGAGCAGAGGGGTTTGAATGAACAGGCGGACGCAGTGTACCAGAAAGCAGTGGAGAACCAGGCCCAGCCAGTCGACACTGTTCTCCATGAATACAGGTAACGAGGAACACATACTGTGGATATAGAGACAGGTGCCAGGGGCTGTATACTGTGTAAAGAACCCTGGAGGATCTCCACACATTCAGTTCTGGACTTTTTAAATGTCTTATTATCTGACCTCAAACTAAATCTGATTTGCAGGCAGTTTCAAACCAGAAGCCAAACACTGGGATCAGGTAAGAGTTTATTTTACTTGTTTCTTTGTTTAAATTGGAAATTTAAAATGTTCAACTGTGTCAACTACTCACTGTGTTTTGATTCGCCCAGCAGGAGGTGTCAATCCTTTGCAGACCTCCCATTTAACCAACCAGATGACATCACACAGAGAACCTGTCATCCAGAGCAAGGTCTGTTAGTAATGTGCTTATTATTATTATCAACCCTTAAATAAGATCAGGGGATAAAGTACTAAAACATTCAAATACAGAATTAAAACATTAAAATAAAAACCAATGCATGTTAGTAATAAATGGAGGCGTGTGATTATCACAGTTTGTCTCTGTTACAGGCCTCTGTGGATTGGTCGGCCAAACCACCTGCAGTCAAAACCATTGTGACGTAAGTGAAAACAATTTTTATAGTTTTAAGTTTGTTTCCTTTATTTCCATAAATAGAAATGAAAACTTTCTGATGTCCTATTTCTTAATTTTCAACTGTTCTATCCATCCAACATTGGTAAAACTGCTCCAAAATCAAATGTGTTGACCAATGTGATAAAATCTAGTCTGCCGTCTCCCCGTAGAGTCTCCCGCTCCGAGAATTCAGGCGTGACTCGCTCGGGTCAGGGCTCCGGCGTTCAGACCGTGTCGGAGTACATGACGGATGAACTCACCTGCGAAGGCTCTGAATTATCATTTGAGGAAGTTCGAGCAGAGAAATACTTCCGCAAGATGCGGGAGAGGCAGGAAAAGGAGCGGAGAGAAAACAGTAAGTGTGTCGTCAGATAATGAAGAAGGCTTGAAAAGTAAATATCAGAACTCGTGTCTGATTTATTTATTTTGCTTTTTGAAGTGGAGAAGATGCTGCGAGAGGAAGAGGAGGGAATCCGCAGCATCAAGTCCATGTTGGAGCAGGTGGTGCAGAATCTGGAAACGTGTGGTGGTTTAAGCAGCCAGCCTCCGTCACAGCTGTCTGTTGTTGAAGCTGCCGCCTGTCCGAGCCCTCATCCTACCCAGAATCCCTTTGGACCACCTCTGCCCTCAAACCATCTGAGCAGCAGACGCTCTCTTGGTTTGACATTACACGCTGAGCCACCATTCGTCCAAGAAGCCTCTGCAGCCGCCATGCCTGCCCCTCCTCCACAGTGGAACCACACCCAACCTGCTGACACAAACACTCTACGCTCCAACGTATCCCATCATCCCTCTGTCCTTGCTGACAGGAGCATCCACTTACCAAAATCAGCCACAACGTCAGCGCCCGCACACCAAGCGTCTCTGGCTCTGCAGCCTGTCAGCTTTGAGCAGATAAACCTGTCGCTCCACAGACCCGCCCCTTTCTCTGCTGTGGACGCCAACGTCCTCAGCCATGGGGCTTCTGTTCAGCCGGACCGCTGGGAGAGCGGTCGACCACAGGGGCACAACGCCACACACCTGTGAGTCACTTATTGTTGAATTGAATTGTCAATAAAAAGCCTCGTCGGTTCAGTGTCATCACCTGAGCTGTGTCTCACTTCTTTTCTTCATCACGTCTCTTTATTCTCTCAGGGACGTCAGTCAGCTGCAGGAACCAGAGGAGAAACTGAACGGTGAGTGAACCCGTGGTTCACAGGTGAGCCCTCCACACTGACTGCAGCCTCGTGAAACTTTCTAAACCTCGTCCTCTTTGTGTCTCTCAGTGTCCCAGGGGGGCACAGCTAACCTGTCTCACGTCACTCCTAACACTTCACTGGGCTTTGTTCAGGCCACACCGTCCAGGGTGCTGCCGTCACCCACTGTCAACACACGGGAAGCGCTGGGTGAGCACGACGGAGGTTTAACGTCCTCCATCTCCTGAATACCACTTCTCTTTCTTAGGGTTTAGTTAAATATACACAGATTGTGGTACTTTCTGCAACCATCGAGTATTTTCTTATATATTTCTTCCTGCTCTCTGTTTCACAACTATGTCTGTAACTCAGCAGCTGTGTCTTCGTTACTTAGACCCCAAGCACAGGAGTGAAATTAGGCGGTGTGGTTTACAGATGTTAAAATGTTGAATCTGGTTTCGTGTCCAGATGTTATCATGGACATGTTCCAGGCTCCGACTCTCTTAGAAGATCAGTTCAACGGCACATCAGCGCTCCACCCTGCTGAGAGGGAGTTCGATGGTGGATACTCAAGAAATGGTAAATATGCTGTAAATTCACCTTCAGGACTTTCAGTACAACAGTTTAATCCAGATTACGAGATGATTTCAGGCTGAGATGAAACAAACTGCACATGAGGATGAAATCTGAGTTCTTCTCTACACCAGAGGCTCATTTTTTTCAAGGTTTGCTGCAGTTTTTTCACAGTTCTCATCATTTATTTTCTGTCTCTCTGTGATTTGAAGGAGGCGACTCCTCGGTGAGGAATCCTCCCTCCGCTGCTCTGTTCACCATCTTCCAGGACGACAAAGAAAACAGCAGGTAAACATGAACGTTATCATCTTTGATGTAGAATCCACTGGCATCGTCCTGTCTGACCAAATTAAATGCAGATATTTAATGTGACTTCTTATTGATAAAAATAAATATTTGACGTTCACACATAATATTCCTGTGATTTTGTCCCGGTGGTTCTGGTCAGTGCTGCTGCTCCAGCTGAGGTCGAGAAGCCGAAACCAATCAGAGCTCTTGCTGAAATCGCAGTGTCTAAGACAGAAAAACCTAACGTGAGTATCGACTAAACATCACGTTGTGTTGAGATCCAAATTAACTGAACTTTTAAAAGTCTCCTTCACGTCTCCACCTGGCAGGAGTGAGTATTTCTGTGACGACTGTTATTCCTGTGTTTTCTGTTTAATCAGGAGACTCCTCAGGACCTGATGCCGGACGAGAGCACCATGTGGGGAGCTCGCTACAACTCCCTCAACTCTCTGGCTGCTTGTCCCAACAGCACCACAGACTTTGACATGCAGGCCCAGTGTGTCTCCACCCCCTTCACGCACAAGACGATGTTCAGCAGCAACTTTTTCCAGGACCAAGGTACCTGGACCTAAAATCACCTTGTGATCATCAGAGTCTAGAACATGATTTATTCAGAAAGAATTAATTTTTCCTTCCTCCAGGGAACAGCTGTGATGGCAGCGAAGTTAGCGATGATCCCTTTATCAGACGCCAGCCCAAAAAACTAAGGTGATCACTGACGACGATCTGATCGGAGTTCTCTCAGACTGCGCTCTGTGTATCTGATATTTATTCTGTCTTCCCTGCTCAGTCCCATCATAGAGCAGAGTCCGTCTGATGACAAGCTCTCTGGATCCAACATCAGTCGCCTCGTTCCTTCCTCAGTCAGACAAGGCACCATCGTCGGCGAAGGGCTCGCCATCAGCCATCACTGCCTGACCACCTCCTCCATCACCATGGTGCAGCCCCCTCCTCCCACCGCGCTCTCCTTCAGGGACCAGACGCTGTGTCCTGCAGACTCCTCCCTCCCCAGGACCTCAGGGCCTGGCTGGGAGGTGTACACCAGCCCAGAGCAGCCTCCCAAACCAGTCTCCCAGGAGCCCGAGAGCTCAGTCAGACCCAAAAGTGAAGCGTTCAAAATCTTTAAAGAAGATGTAGACAAACCCTCCAGTCCAGAGCGAGTACAGAACCCAGCCTACGATGTTCCCATGAGCCCAGAGTTGCCTCTCAACCTGGACTGGACGGCCATCAGAAGCCCAGAGGTCACAGTCGAGCCAGATCTGGACGCCTTCCTGAGTCCCGTTCGGCCCAAGGCAGCGGTCACTGTTCCCAACAAGACCCTGGACGTCCCCATGAGTCCAGAGCAGCCACAGCTCTTCGCCGACGTCCCCATGAGCCCAGAGCAGCAGCAGCAGCCACCCCCGCGGTTCAACACTGTAGATGAACCCATGAGTCCCGGCAGAGCGCTGACAGCCATCACTGACGTCTCCATGAACACAGCCGGCGCAGCGGTCATCCCGCTGGTGTCGGATCCGTGGGATAACGAACTGATCTCTGGTCTGCTGTCTGCACTAACCCCGCCCCTCACCTCTCACCCCCGCTGCATCACCTGGCAGTGCAACATCCCCAACATCTCCCCAAAGATGACCATCAGCATGGGTGAGACTATTCAACCTTTTCAGGAAATGTTTTTATCAGCTGTGAGTATCTGCTCCGAGCAGCAGCAGAGTCACATCAGAAAATACTTTCAAATAATCATTTTAAATCATTTTAAATCCCAGTGTGAGTCATTCTTGTTGGTCAGACACTAAAAATCTGTTTGCGTCTCCGACAGGAAAGGCCTCCCTGCGAGTCGACTGCGTCCTCGGTGAAGGAGCTTTTGCAACCGTCTACCAGGCGACTGACCCCGTGACCTCTGAGAGGATGATTCTAAAGGTGAGAGCGGCAGCGGCTGTAGGTTAAGACTCTGAACTCTGGTAGGATAATGAATGGAGCTCACCGGTACACTTACACAAAAGATTTCAGTCTCTATAGTGTCATGTATTGTTTTAACCACATGAAACATTCAAAGCTTAACTTTGATTGAAACGTTTTCTGTAGAGATGAGTCTGGTTCCAACACCTGAACTGAAAATCTTCCCCTCGCCGCTTCTTCTTTGTGACGCAGGTTCAGAAACCAGCCAATCCCTGGGAGTTTTACATCAACACTCAGCTGGACGCTAGGCTGCAGCCGGCCGCCCGACACCTCTACAGCAGCATCTGCTCGGCTCACCTCTTCCACAACGGGAGCGTGCTGCTCGGGGAGCTCCACAACTACGGCACCCTGCTGGTACGTTAGCATGTCTCTAACGTTACTTTAACTGTCACATGACGTGAGCGTGAATAAACGTGTGTCTCTGAACATGTGACTCTCAGAACACGGTGAACATGTACAAGGCCCTGAGCGATAAGGTGATGCCTCAGCCTCTGGTCATGTACTTCACCATCTGTATCCTGCACATGGTGGAGCAGCTGCACAGCGTCCACATCGTCCACGCCGACATCAAACCTGACAACTTTCTGTTGGGGGAGAGGTAACGCTCCAAATCCACACGACTCATGAATGTTCCACCTCTGACAACAAGATGTCTGAAGTCGTCATGATTTCATTTACCGATCAATTAAATCACTTTTTTCATCGTCCATTAATCATTTTTCTCATTCATCAAACTTTGCTTCTTAAATGTGACGATCTGCTGCTTTTCTCTGGTGGTAAATTAAAATGGGTTTAAATCATTAAAGTCACTTTCGGCTCTGATCATCTCCTGTGGTCACGTGTTGTTGGCGTGTTGTTGAATCTCACCGTCATCATGAACGTGGCTTTGTTTCAGGTTCTTGGAGAACAAGTGTTTTGATTCAGAGAGCGTGGACCACGGCCTCGTTCTCATTGACCTGGGACAAAGCATTGACATGGAGCTTTTCCCAGAAGACACCGCTTTCACCGCCAAGTGTTTGACGTCGGGTTTCCAGTGCACAGAGATGCTCAGCGGGAAACCGTGGAACTATCAGGTACAGACGCAACAGAGTTTTAACATCAGACAGAAAACATGTGAAACTAAATCCAGACAGTTTGATCTCAAAGCTCTAATTCTGTCTTTGACTGTGTTTTCAGACGGATTACTTCGGAATAGCAGGGACGGTTTACTGTTTGCTGTTCGGGACGTACATGCAGGTGACAAACGAGGACGGCGTCTGGAAGACGAACGCTGTGTTTAGAAGGTGAGTGTTTACTGCAGGTGTTTGTTTACTGCAGGTGTTTGTT